AATGAAGTTACAAGGACTGATACATTCTGTTTTATGATTCTGTGATAGTTTCTTCCCAAAATCATTTTTACTTTTTTAGTTGCCTAACACCAAGTTTCCAGTCTCCATGACTCAGGCCGAGCCTTGATTCTACTCCCTAGAAGCAGGTTCTCCAGGGGCCTCCATGCTCTGTGTCCCATGAATTACACCCAACACCATCTCGTTTCCTGCCCAGGTTCAGGGCTTTGTTAACACTGCCAGATGGGTTCAATAGTTATTTCCCTCTGGATGTCTGGGTGGATCTGTGAAGATTTGCAGCTCCAGAGCAGGCTGCTGCCCTGCATTCCCCCTGGGGAGTCGTTCAGCCTGAGAGTGCAGTGGCAGAAATGTGTGGGAGAAGGTTAAAATCGATTTTTCTTACTCTGATGGCTGTTTTAAAGGTCAGTTCTTCTTGTATTTTTTAACACCTCTCTCATGTATTTATTACTAAAAAATGTTCACGGTTCATTCTCCCTCTCCCAGGAAAGTGTCTGTCCTAACAGAGCTGCTCCTGGGCTTTGCAATCTTATTAAAATCAAAACTCATCTGTCAGCTGAAGTGCTTTTGAAATCAATTTTAAACATTCACATTAATTGGTGCACCTTTTAAAAATATTGCCATGCTTGACATTGGAAGATGAAAAGGTAGAGGAACATTTCCTGCACTGGGGAGACTGTTGTCTGTTGGCTTTTGACTTACAAGGCAGAGCTGTGGTAAATGGATTTACAATCAGCTTAAGGAAGCAATTTTCAGATAGGTTTTAGTTTGAAAACCAAAGGCATAAATAACAAACCTTTCATCATTGGTGCCAGTTTGATCTGAAAAGATCTTTCACATCTCAAAGCGGGGTGCTGAGAGAGCTGCAGCCCCAAAACTGTGTGAGGATCTGCAGAGTGAATGTGCAGGGGGCCAGGAGCACCCTCGGGTCAGGCACACAACTGTCTCCCCAGCAACAACACCAATGACACTTCTGTTCCCAAATTAATTAAATAAAAATTTATTACTTCATCTGGTTTGTATCTGAAAGGAGGTGGGATCTCAAGGGCTGGGGGGAGAGGGGGTGTTAGGGCCCTTAGGGCACCCATAGGCCTTAATGGCCTTGATAAGGTTCAGATGAGGCTTCTACCAGCACCCTGTGCCTGGGGCCCATTTAAGTTCAGGTCTGGGAACATCTTTCCTGCCCGAGCTGCTGTTGTAGGTGTGCTTGTTTCTGGGGTACCTGTCTAGGTTACAGCCAGGGCTGGTCACAGACCTTGTTTTGGACTCTGACCTGTGATCTGGTACAGATCAGCCAGATGAATTTGTACTGCTGGATGCTGATGGAGCAGAAGTTTGTGAGACCCGTTTGGATGTCTAAGAGGCTCTGTAAGAAGTGCTACAGGGAGAAAAAAAGTGGTAAGTGGTGTGGGTCTACTAACTTTCATAGCTGGGGAACTGAGTAACATTCATTGTTCAGCTCTTTAAAAACTACTCCCTTGTTTTGGAAGGTTTCCTTCCTTCCAAAGGGATCTCTCATCCCACCTTTGAATTCTGTATCTTCACACAGCTCTTCAGCTCACTTCAACTCTAAAGCCCTGTTTTGATCCTGATGACATGTGACAGGTAACAAATAGTCCCCATTTGTCTCACTGCTTTCTTTTGACAAGAAGTGTGTAACACTCTTCCAGCCCAGGGTGAGAAGATCCTTTCAGGAGGACAGAGTCTGTTCAATTAGCCTTTATTTCAGGCAGAAGGCAATCCTGGCTGCGTGGGGCTGTATCTTTGTAGGGTGATATTCTGCAGTCAGGAGAATTGCTCAGCTATGTGCCTCTGAAATAGCAACCTGTGGCTGGAAATCTGCATCCAAATTCCAGCTCTGGAACGAGGTTGGGGAACCCTTTTAATTCTACATATGCCTCTTCCCTGTTTCCAAAACTTGCATGATAAGAAACACTGCACTAGGGTGGAGGGCTTGGCACAGTGGAGCTACCTTAGGTTAAAAGCAACACCAGAGGTCAGTAACCTTCTGCTTCACCCCTCAGTGATGACTTGAGCTGGGATATTGGGTTTGTATCACTCTCTGCACCCCCTCCTGATGGCACAGCTTTGCCAGGGGCTGGAGTTGAGCCATAGCCTGTTTGGGATGCAGCTGCCCAGAGGTCCATTAGCCCGAACTTATCTAACTGCTAGAGCTCTTCTAAGGGGCCACCAGTAAAGGCTTTGTGAGCAGGTCTGACCAAGCCCTCAGGGAAACTCTTCAGGTGGAACACGGGACTCCTGGGTCCTTTCCCTGAGCTGTGCCCTCTGGTGAGATCTGTGCTACCTCAGTTTCCTCTAGAGCTAAGGAGTTTTTCTCCCTCCTGTAGCACTATGATCATGAATATATGGGTGCAAGTATCTAAAAGGCCACTGAAATAGGCAGTTACCACTGAAATTCATAAATAACATTGATCATACGAGGAAAGATGAAATAACTGATGATTGTCGTGTCTTCACTGCAAGAGTATCAATATCTTCTGCAAACAACAGTGAAGACCACAAGGACAGAAAATTTCTAAGGTATTTAGCGATTATTATTAATTTCTTTAAGGTTTTTTAGGCTAGAGAGAAACTGCAGGGAATTAATTGGAGGCAGAACAATTAAACCTGCACGGGGACCATCGTGACGTGGAGCCGCGTGGCTCCCGGGTGCTGTGTGCTTCATCCCTTCAGTAGTGAGACAGATGGAAAGGATTGGCCAGCACAGAGAGCAGCTCCAGAACCTGCTCTGTACACAGAGCCGTGCTGCAGAGCTCTGAGAGCCAGCTCGGAACAGAGAGGCTGCTTGTAGCAGAGTGCCTGTGAGCACAGGCAGCTGAGAGCAGGGAAAGCACACGCTGCTCCCCTCCTGCCTCCAGCTCTGCGAGGTGTGAGCAAGGGCTCCTGCAAGGCAGGGGCTGGAGGAAGAGCTGCTCCTCACCATCTTCACTGGTCGCCTCATCTGGATGAGCTGAGCAGGGATATTTACCTGGGTACAGGGTGAAGAGCGTGGAAGGATGATTCGAAGTCAAGGAAGTGTCTGAGAGTGCCTAAGCCTGGTGTGCCTGGCAAACAGCAGTGCCTTGGGGGAGCTGAGCTTGGGACGTTGCTGGAAAACATTCTGCAGGGGAAGAACCTGTGCTGGGCAGGTCCTGGGGAAGCAGGTGGCTGGAAGAGGCCTTTCCTTCCTTGCTCCACTATGATCTCTGGTTAAGTTTCTTGTGCACGTGTGGAAGAGGCAGAAAAAGCCTCTGCAAACTACTTCCCAGGTCTGCTGCCAAAAGCAAAGAAACCATTTTTCTTAAGACCGTGGGCTGATCAGCAATCTTCTTGAAGGATGTCTGGCCAGGATACTGAGGACTTTGGAGCAGAAAACCTCTCGGAGAAGTCTCGGATGATTCCCAGCCTCCCACCGTACGACATGGACGACCAGCTCCTTCCAAGGGAACCACGGAGTGCCTGGTGCTGCTTGGCATGGACCCTGGTGGTGGTCACCATGAACTCCTTGGTCTTTCTCATGAATTTGCTCCTGATGTTTGTTATCTTCACTATCGTGCTGCTTCCCACCATTGTGGTGGTTTACTTTGGCTTCCAGTGCCACTCCCAGGTAAGTCAGCCTGGCTCCCTTTGGCTGCCAACAGCCACCTCGAAGATGGGGCCACCCATAAGGGTTTTATTTCAGCCCCTGGGGAGCAGTAGCTGTGCAGGCAAGGTTGGACTTCCCAAGGTTTGTTTTTTTCATGAGGGGTGTGTACATGTGCAGATTTTTTCCTCAAGGGGGGTATTTTTGTAACAGGGCTGACAGAACAGGTTTGTGGTGTTTGATGCTGACCTGCAGGCTCCTGGCTGTACAAGGAGCTGTGTCTCCTCCTTGGTGCCAGTGACAGGCAAGGCTGGCACGTGCATTTGTCTAAGGGAAGTACAGGCTTCACGGTTCCTAGACTAATTGTCTGGAAGTAGTTGGCTGGCACAGAAAGGCTCCCACTGGAGAGGCAGGGAGAGCACTGGCAGCAGCTGCCTGTGACCGCCCAGCCCCTCGGGGATGGAGATCGAAGGGAGCCCGTGCTCCTGATCCCCTGGGCACCACACTTTGTGCAGCTGTCCAGTGTAAAGTGATCAGGGAGAAGTCTACAGCACTGCACAACAAGCTTGCAGGGGGTGCCAGCGTTGTGGGCACACCTGGATGATGGCAGGAGCAAGCCAGACACGTTTTTACCCCTCCCTCCTTCCAGTACTATGGAAAAAGGAAGCTTGGTTGGGCAATGAAGTTGTATTCCTGTGAAAACACCAAGCAGCTGGGACAGGTCAGGTGAGCACACTCCTTGGCTTGGCAGAGTTGCTGTTTGCATTTTAATGTCACAATATTTCTCTGTTTTCTTTGACCTCTGTTACTAAGAGCTGCCAACCTGAACTGCTCTGTCACCCCCGAGTCCTCCGTGCTTGTCATGCTGCCTAATGACTCATTGTAGAACTAATAAAGTCTGACAGAATATGTGATCCTAATATTTTTATGTCAATCTAACATTCAGATGTGTTCAAAAATGTGCTGTAGTGTTTCTCACCCCAAGAACTGACCAGCTCAATATGACTTCTCTTGCTGATTACCCTAGGTTAGGAGAGTTCCTTTACTTCATACTCGGGGGGTAAAAAAACCCCCAAAAATCCACCCAGTGTGACACTTTCTCCCAGCAGGAGAAATTCAAAATCTATTAAAAATATAGATACTCTCATTCTCCCTGTTCCACAGAATCTGAGCTGAAGGGGAGATTATTTAAATATTCTCACACCGATCTATTATTACCTGGGAAATATTGAAAGAAGAGTTTTCCCCTTCCCTTCTGATGAAACCTCTGCATCCTACCCAACCACCCACATCCCTGGGACCTCTGTCTGAGTGAGTGGGTGCTGGCACGGGTGGGAGGAAGGATCCAGGCACGCAGCAGGGATCACCCATTTGCCCAGTTTAGCCCCATGAGGCTCTGCTGACTCCCCTGGAGCTGAGTGTAGGTCCTGCTGTGGAGCCTCCTTCCCCAGCCCAGGAGGAGCCCACTCTGTGTGGCTGAGGTGTCCTGCCCTGTGTCCCAGGGGTGGCAGCTGTCCCTCAGCTCTGGGAGAGCTGCTGCTGCTTCAGCAGCACCCTCAGTGCCAAATATTTGTTCCCAGGAGCCGTGTGTGTGTGGTAAAGGTCCTTCTGCAGGTGGAATCTGAGCTGGCTCACCTGAGACCCCTAAACCCTGGGATGCAAGAGGATGCCAAGCCCTACTGTTGGCTGTAGGCACCCATGGCTGTGCCTGGGGGGTGCTGAGACTTCCCAGTACACCCACTGCACTGTGTTCTTCAGCTGCAGCCCAGCAACGTGAGCATTCAGCCCAGGGCTCCCTGTCTCTGAGCTCCACAACAAAGGGACTCTGCTGTTATTGTTTTCTCAGTAGTGCTGTGTTTGTTGGTCTGAGAACTTTGGCTTTGAATTTTATTGCCCTGAAATTACGACAGCTCGTAGCTGCTGTTATTGAAAAGCTCTTCCCTACCCTGCAAACTAATGAACAGGGAGACATCTGTCATGGTGATTATTTTGTGGAGCAGAGCAGACACAAGTGCTGCTGCTCCTGGTTGGAGAGAAGCATAATTCATAGAGAAATCATGTACCCCTGGGCCAGGCAGTTCCCACCGTGGCTCTGACACCTGGAAATGCTTTACTGGGGGATGCAAATGTGTGTGATGCCCAAGAGGGTTAAGGGGGAGGCTCTGGAAGGCCATACAGGAGGCTTTGAGGAGATGCAAGAGGTCTCTGAGATCCATTAGATGGATTTATTTCTTTAGTGTGATGGGTTGTGTTTCTTGTAGTGCTGAAAGACTACAGAAAAAGGAAAGGAGCTGGGGCTGCCTATAGCAGTTGTTGTGCACTAACAACTGACTGGCCTGACTTGGATCTCCTGCTGCCAGCATGAAAGGAGGGATTTAAATGCCACTCAGCAAGGACCAGTTAGTGTGCTGGTTGCTTTGCAGCAGAGTGGGGTGAATGGGCTTTCCCAGCAGACTTTGCAGTGCGAGGAGATGCTGGGATGCAGAAATGAGAACAGTGTGTACACCAGACAACACAAAGGGTCTGTTCCAGGGCAGGAGTCTGGAGAGGCTCCAGCCAGCAGGGAGCTGGGGAGTGACCAGCCTCTGTCTGCAGAATCTAATATCTTGCCCTGTTTTATTTACTTTCTTATAATTTCCAGTGTGTTGTGCCACCCCCATGGATGTGGCAGCAGGAGGCTGTTTAATTTGGTTTCTGCCTCTCAAACTCTAAGCTGAGCTATTTGGGTGACTTAATCAAGATTGGTGTTTCCAGCTCCAGGCCCAGTGTGCAGTGCTCCTGCCTCAGAGTGATGCTGGGATAATTGAAAGCTTGATTAAAAGGTGCTGTGGGTTCCACGGTGTAGCCTGAAGATGGCTGAGCTCAGCTGGGTGTGTCTTTTTGTGAAAGCACCAGAAACTCAGGGGTGCTTTGGCCCCTGCTGCCCAGCAGGTCGGTGACCAGCTCTGTCTCACTCTTCCCACAGGTGCTGCACTCGGCCGCCCGCTACTGCAAAAGCATCTTGGATGACAACAGCTCTTCTGCACTCATCATCCTCGGGTTCATCATCATGTCCCCCCTCATCGTGGCAGCCATGGCCATCTACTGCACCCTGGCCCGGCGCCTGCGGCTGCTCCTGTGCTTCCAGCCCCACAGCAGGGCTGTCTACAAGGGGGTGAGGTGGCGTTGGCAGGAGGAGGGAGGTCTCTGCAGCTGCCTCAAGGGCTGGGATACACCAGTCAAGGCCTGGGTCTGAGTTTGCAGCACCAGAGGCCCCCCCCTAGCCAGCACCCCCTTCCCCCCTGCCCTGTCCCTTCCCCTCATCACCCCCCAGAATCTCCTCCCTGAGGTGTCAGCAGATGAAGGCTGTGTAGTACTGAGGTGTGAGAGGAAGGGAGATCCATCAGTCATCCACCTTGTCTGTAACTGGGCATGATTCTGCCCCCTGTGAGGGAAAAGTCATTGACCATATAAATGATGCTCAGCCCTTAACGAGCCAGGGACTCCTCCAGAGCCTGCTGCACTCAGAGCACAGCACTGCTCCCAGTCCTGACAGCACGTTCTGCCTGACGTGGGACACAGCACCTCTGTGTGGGGCTAAACAGTGGTGGGAGTGGCTGG